TTTTAAAGTCTGTCGCAAATTTTTATGGTTGTGTTATTCGGCGTTCAACTTATCGGCGAGTGGTTAATTTGCGGATCGGCTGAATTATGAAATTATTCGGTATGAATTATTCGCGTGTTGTTATTTTTCGCGTCGGACGCGTTTGCGGAAAATTAAACCACCGCGATAAATAACAAAGGCTTATATAGTAGGACACACGACAAAGGGCAATCTTAAACATCCAGCTTAGATCGGACCACACACGTTCATATCATCTAGTTAGAGAGGGAGCCACAGATTCGTAGCTATTACTAATCGTATCAATATTTACTCTTGATATGATCAATCATGATCATGATAATCAAACACTCATTTCTGGTGATTAATTGATTAATCAATTGATTAATTGATCAACCCAAGGTAATTAATGTAATTGTGATACGTACGTATCGCAGTCGATAAACGACAATCAGACCTTTGTTCAAATGACAAAGAGTTGGAAAGGTTTAGATTGTTTGTCAGAAATTATATGAATTTTTGAATCTTTCTATGAAACATGCTGAAGACGTCAGTATTGGGTATCGCTGCTTCCGAGATGAAGCTTCGGGCTTCTGCACAGCCGAGGAAAGCAAGGCCACGATGCCTATAGATGTCGCCACTTTCCCTTTTCTCGCGTTCCGACAACTGAGGAGAATAACAACAACGATAATAAAAGATTAAAAAAAAATAAAAGATGGAAATAAAACAGCGAGATATAAAAGAATAAAAGCTCCCTGGCGCTCCAGGTTAGAAAGTGTGGCGACGTGTGACCCCCATATAAATAATATAGATAACCATATCAGGTTAATGTGGGTTTCTATGGTGACCCCACTCCGTACGTGGATGTGGCTGAGATTGCCCCTGCGTGCATAAAATGGCTATGTTTATGATTTCTTCTGATTTATTGTTTATTTATGGACATTTTCGTTTATTATTTCATAGCAAGTTTTTGTTTTTTCGTGAGAATTTATTATTCTTTTGTGTTATACTTGTTATTTTGTAGGATTATTACCATATTCTGTTTATTATTTACTTACGTGAAATGCAGAATGATTATCAGATTGTTTACCAGCTAGCAAAGACATACCTATGACCATATAAAGACGTGTAATTTTTCACCAAAAGAGTATTCACCACGTTTCTACACTACTTAATTCTGTGGCGTACGTACAAAGTTGCAAGCCTGCATTTAATAATATAATAAGCTAATAATTTAATTTTATAATATTTTAATAACTGATGTACTAAACCTATTGGAATGCAACATTGGGGTGTTTATTTGTGCTTGCTACGACAATCATAGGATTTGTCAGGGGCCGATGCAAACAGTGCATATAACAGCAACCTAATAAAAATATGAGAAAATTAGAAACACCCATTGCATAGGATTGCAATATACTATCTTGCTATGATTCTATCTATTTATAGTCTGTATATCTTTACAGGCGCTCACATTCGTTTTGTTTTTTAATACATTCACGCAACCACTCACGCATAACGTTTGCTTACTTGCCGGTGGTCGGCGCTAGTGTAGCGCTCTCTACCCCGTGACTTGATCATCGTATAGAATGACATCATCACTCGTATCGTCCATAGCTTCGTCGAATGAAAAGTTTTCTCAACACTGATTGACAAGTCGAGGGAATTCGCACTGACATGCTATACTGCCGCAACTGTGACGTGATTGTCAACCCAAACTCATTCCGATAACTTATAGCTGACGAATGTAGGGGGCAGCGGTAGATTCGGTTGCTATAACCACCAGAGCACGTATATTTATTTTACGTGCTCTGCTACCGATCCTATATAAATAGATGTGAAACCTTTATATAGAATAGAAAAAGGGTTTCTGTCTCTTTTATGGGTCACCCACCCCATATATGTTGGACTGTCAATATTTTAATA